ACTCAGCACAGGGATGGTGGGAACCCCTCATAATGGGCACAGCAGGGTACAGACCCGGGAACTCAGCACAGGGATGGTGGGAACCCCTCATAATGGGCACAGCAGGGTACAGACCCGGGAACTCAGCACAGGGATGGTGGGGCCCCTCATAATGGGTTTGGGGGTACAGTGACCTTCTATATAAAATATTTGTTTACCACCATGAATAGGAAAACACAGAAACCGTTTCCATCATGTACCGGGCCCCTGAATACGGCAGCGCTGAGTAGATTCCCGGGACCCGGTGATAGAACATTCAGTCAGCTCCTATGTTTCCTGCTGACCTTTGGTTGGGATAGGGTGACCCCGGCTCGGAGGCCTGGCTGGATTCTGTGTCCATGTGTCACCCAGATGATGACACAACTCCCGTCACCAACACGCAATGTTCAGGGACATTAGTCAGCGCTGACACATGAGGTAGTGAGGGCAGGGCGCCTCCACCCCGCTGAGTAGGTTCAGCGCTGTCGTAATACCTCTTCTGATCTCCATCGTCACATATACCGGGGGCGTCACCCTGCGCGGTGGGGACGGGGGAGCTTATGAGGAATAAAATGCTATCTCAGCACCCCCGCGATGGCCTATAGCGGCTCTATATACAGTGGCGTTGTGTGTAGAATGTATATATGGTCTATGGAGGTCAGAGGTCTTGGTGCGAGTCGCTGTTTGTTATGATCACACCGGCCTCAGCTGTCTCCTTGTATACATCAAGAGGACCTGTCACCATGCGTTTCAGGTGAATGTACAGACAGCACAGCACATTTATCCTGACAGACACAGGGGGACCCCCACTTTCCCCTTAAATGGGGGGGTCTAAGGTTCCCTGGATGCGGTCCCTGCTGCATCGTCTTCCACTTCCAGGGCATTTGGCAATGCAGAGCGGGAATATGGTCACAGCATCCAGTACGGAAAGGATTAATGATGCGCGCAAGGCCGCTCCGCGACCATTCGGCACTGCGGCGTCCGAAGTACGGTTAAACTGCGCCGACGATGGAACACAAGGGGTTACGGTGGGAGACGCCTGGCTCAAGGACGCTATAAACTGACAGTAAAAAGGGAGAGGAGAGATATGTGGAGACACCTGGAGTCAGCACTGCCCCTCCCGCTCCATGCAGATTAATAGGCTACTTCCTAGTAACCCCTCCAATGCCAGAGCCCCGCTCTACCTGTGCAGAGGGATGGCCCACGATACATCATTAACCCTTCATCACCAGACCTTCCTCAACACAGACCAATGAGCCCTTTTCACAGCGGAATTCAACGTTAACCCCTACAGTGCCAGATCCCACAGGCTGACGTTGAAACCAAATCATGCCCCCCCTTCATATATTAACCCTGACATCACCAGGCCTCTACACAAGCCCGGACACATTGTTAGCCCTTTCATTAACACTTCCCATGTGGACCCCTCCCCTGCGTAGCCCCCCACCAATAGGCATTCATGACACCCAGCTCATCAATAACCCCTCCCAATACCAGACCTGAACCCTGGTATTGTGGACCCCTCCCCTGCGTAGCCCCCCACCAATAGGCATTCATGACCTCGTCGTTAACCTCTCCAATACCAGACCTGAACCCTGGTATTGTGGTCCCTTCCTCTGTGTAGCCTCCCAATAGACATTCATGACCCCCGGCTCATCATTAACCCCTCAGATACAAGAACTGAACCCTGACATTGTGTACCCCTCCCCTGCGTAGCCCCCCACCAATAGGCATTCATGACACCCAGCTCATCAATAACCCCTCAGATACCAGACCTGAACCCTGGTATTGTGGACCCCTCCCCTGCGTAGCCCCCCACCAATAGGCATTCATGACACCCAGCTCATCAATAACCCCTCAGATGCCAGACCTGAACCCTGGTATTGTGGACCCCTCCCCTGCGTAGCCCCCCACCAATAGGCATTCATGACCTCATTGTTAACCTCTCCAATACCAGACCTGAACCCTGGCATTGAGTACCCCTCCTCTGTGTAGCCTCCCAATAGACATTCATGACCCCCGGCTCATCATTAACCCCTCAGATACCAGAACTGGACCCCGACCATATCCGACGCCCCCCGTGTCACCAAGCCCCCCACCAATAGGCATTCATGACCTCATTGTTAACCTCTCCAATACCAGACCTGAACCCTGGCATTGAGTACCCCTCCTCTGTGTAGCCTCCCAATAGACATTCATGACCCCCGGCTCATCATTAACCCCTCAGATACCAGAACTGGACCCTGACATTGAGTACCCATCTCCTGTGTAGACCCCCAATAGGCATTCATGACCCCCACCTCATCGTTAACCCCTCAGACCTTAAAAATAAATTATACCATCCATGTCCTCTATATCATTAACTCCTTCATTACCCCCAACGATCTATATTCATCCCCAACTTCAATCACTGGCAATCCATATTCATCCCCAACTTCAATCACTGTTACATTGTAAACTCCTGGGCAGCATGGAAATCTGTATACATTGTAACTACTCCACCCCCCCTCCCCAATATATACACCTTTAACCCTTTCATCACCTGGCCTGCGCATTGTACTATTATACAACAACCTCTGTCACTGGGACACAGTCAGGGAGCCCAGGACAGACTCTTGCACTCCGGGCCCCCCAGTAGGTACCTTTTTTGCCCTCTGTGGCCCTCAGCACAGCCAGGTATAAGTTGTCCTCTGAGTTGGTTCTCTGGCGGAAGGAACTGTCCTGATTGGACGGCAGAGCGGCATTGGCTCTGTACCTCTGCTGGTCCATGGAGCTGACAATCCAATCCCAATTCCCGAAAACTACGACTGGTCCCGGTGTATTCCTGGGGGGTTCTGCGGTTCTCTCCTGCACCCTCTTTCCTGCGGTCTCTCCTTTCTGCTTCTCTCTTCACTTCTAAGTCTCTTTCAAAGTCTCCAGAACCCTCCTTCCCCTTCGCTCTCTCCCCCCAGATTGGCCGCAGGCTAAGCAATTCCAAGCCTGCCCTGTCTGGTTCCTGCCCTGCCTTCCCTTGCTGCCCTCCCCTTTCCGAGGTGTGTCAGGGGGGACACACTTCAAGGTGTGCCTGGGCGACACTCCCCATCAGCCATGCTTGGCTCTCCCACCCCTCTAACTCCCGCCCCGCCGCCATCTACACAGGAAACCTCAAATGTTCTGCAGAAATCCTCCCAGAGCCAGAGAGAAAGAGAGTGCTGAACAGAGTCCTGAGAGCCGAGACTACCGGGACCAGTATACAGAGTCCTGCGAGCAGAGACTGCCATATAGAGAGTCCTGCGAGCAGAGACTGCCATATAGAGAGTCATGCGAACAGAGACTGCTATATAGAGAGTCCTGAGAGCTGAGACTGCCATATAGAGAGTCCTGAGAGCAGAGACTGCCATATAGAGAGTCATGCGAACAGAGACTGCTATATAGAGAGTCCTTAGAGCTGAGACTGCCATATAGAGAGTGCTGAGAGCAGAGACTGCCATATAGAGAGTCCTGAGAGCAGAGACTGCTATATAACGAGTCCTGAGAGCAGAGACTGCTATATAACGAGTCCTGAGAGCTGAGACTGCTATATAGAGAGAGCCCAGATCTGAGACTACTGTATAGAGTCAATGCAGCTATATACAGAGTGCAGGGTGCCCGGACTTCTATATACAGAGTGCAGGGTGCCCGGACTTCTATATACAGAGTGCAGGGTGCCCGGACTTCTATATACAGAGTGCAGGGTGCCCGGACTTCTATATACAGTGTGCAGGGTGCCCGGACTTCTATATACAGAGTGCAGGGTGCCCGGACTTCTATATACAGAGTGCAGGGTGCCCGGACTTCTATATACAGAGTGCAGGGTGCCCGGACTTCTATATGCAGGGTGCCCGGACTTCTATATACAGAGTGCAGGGTGCCGGGACTTCTATATGCAGGGTGCCCGGACTTCTATATGCAGGGTGCCGGGACTTATACAGAGTGCAGGGTGCCCGGACTTCTATATACAGAGTGCAGGCGGCCCGCACTCCTATATACAGA